TGTATGTATGTATGTATGTATGTATGTGTGTGTGTGTATGTATGTATGTATGTATGTATGTATGTAATGTATGTAATGTAATGTAATGTAAGGTAATGTAATGTAATGTAGTGTACTGTAATGTAATGTATGTATGTATGTAATGTAATGTATGTATGTATGTATGTAATGTATGTATGTATGTATGTATGTATGTATGTATGTATGTAATGTATGTAATGTAATGTAATGTAATGTAATGTAATGTAATGTAATGTAATGTAATGTAATGTAATGTAATGTATGTATGTATGTAATGTATGTAATGTATGTATGTATGTATGTATGTATGTAATGTATGTATGGTATGGTACGGTATGGTATGGTCTGGTGTGATGTGGTATGGTATGTAAAGTATGTATGTAATGTGATGTAATGTAATGTAATGTCATGTAATGTAATGTAATGTAATGTAATGTAATGTAATGCAATGTAATGTAATGTATGTATGTTATGGCATGTTATGTCATGTTATGTTGTGTCATGTGATGTTATGTTATGTTATGTTATGTTATGTTATGTATGTATGTATGTATGTAATGTATGTATGTATGTATGTAATGTAATGTAATGTAATGTAATGTAATGTAATGTATGTATGTATGTATGTATGTATGTATGTAATGTATGTATGTATGCATGTATGTATGTATGTATGTATGTATGTATTTATGTATGTATGTAATGTATGTAATGTGATGTGATGTAATGTAATGTAATGTAATGTAATGTAATGTAATGTAATGTAATGTAATGAATGTAATGTAATGTAATGTAATGTAATGTAATGAAATGTAATGTAATGTTATGTATGTATGTATGTATGTATGTATGTATGTATGTATGTATGTATGTATGTTATGGCATGTTATGTCATGTGATGTTATGTTATGTTATGTTATGTTATGTTATGTTATGTTATGTTATGTTATGTATGTATGTATGTATGTATGTATGTATGTATGTATGTATGTATTTGTGTGTATGTATGTACGTATGTATGTATGTATGTATGTATGTATGTATGTATGTATGTATGTTTTGTATGTATGTATGTATGTATGTAATGTACTGTACTGTAATGTACTGTACTGTACTGTAATGTAAGTATGTATGTATGTATGTATGCATGTTGTATGTATGTGTGTGTGTATGTATGTAATGTATGTATGTTATGAATGTAATGTAATTATGTATGTATGTATGTATGTATGTATGTATGTATGTATGTATGTATGTATGTATGTAATGTATGTATGTATGTATGTATGTATGTATGTAATGTAATGTAATGTAATGTAATGTAATGTAATGTAATGTAATGTAATGTAATGTAATGTAATGTAATGAATGTAATGTAATGTAATGTAATGTAATGTAATGTAATGAAATGAAATGTAATGTTATGTATGTATGTATGTATGTATGTATGTATGTATGTAATGTATGTATGTATGTATGTATGTTATGGCATGTTATGTCATGTGATGTTATGTTATGTTATGTTATGTTATGTTATGTTATGTTATGTATGTATGTATGTATGTATGTATGTGTGATGCATGGTGTGATGCATGTGTGTAATGCATGTGTGCATGTATGTTCGTTTGCATGTATGTGCGTATTTAATGTATGTATGGTGTAATGTATGTATGTATGTAATGTAGAGTCGCTTCTGGCGTGCGCAGATGAGTGGCTTCTGGCGTCCATCAGGGTGCCGGTCAGGGTGCCGGCGGGGTGCTGCTCAGGAAGTGCTGCTCTGTTTGCTGGTGGTGATTGTCAGGGTCGGTGTGCTGGTGGTGACTGGCGGTCCTTGTTTGGCGCTGCAGCCAATGTGCTGGGTTGCTGGCCAGGGCCAGGGTGCTGCTGTTCTCCCATGCTATTTGGGGTTTGTGCTGGTGTTTTGGCTCCTTTGAAATGGCATGTGGCCAAGCCGTGTGACTTTTTGTGACCTGTCAACTCAGACAGACTTCGGTAGGCGCCGCTGCCTTGGCCCCACCGACGCCAACGCGACCTGCACATTGCAAGATCTCAGCACTACATGCACGCCCATGCGGGTGCGCTCATGGTTGCCATCCGGGACCCAAACAAGCTACTGAACTTCTTGCGATTTGTTCCGAACCGTTCAAGTAGTGTTGAGCTCCTGCCGCCCTCATTTGCCCTAGATCTTCAAGAAATGCAGGTGTGAACGCTCAGCGCATGGAAGGTGCAAACATGAGGCAGAACACATTGAATTTCCGAAGGCACCTTGCGCTTACACGGCAACAATGTGCGTGTATTGGCTGAAGGTTTCGCTTGAAAACAAAACTTGCTTTGCGGTGATGCTTTTCTTCTCGCCCGAGAGCTTTCAGATTTCAACCTACATAGTACTCATAGGAAACGTATTTGATTCCAAAACACATGCGAACTTTCATTTTGCCCCCTGCCCTCTTGGGGACATCTTCATAAGTTAGCCCGTTGCGATATCTCGCGCGTCTTTTGCGGCCGGCCATGGCAAAAGTTGAATGCGTTGCCGGACTGCTTCAAGGAGGCGAGGGGTTGCAGATCTCGGACCAACCACACAGCGGCAATCGTTTGGGTTCTGCCAAAAAGAGAACAGAGAGAGCGCCTTTTTCAGGCTGATCTTGTGACTTTCAGAGAGGGCCAAAAACTATGGCAGCTTTGGGTCTGGTTCTCGGGAACGGGTCCAGAATTTGCTCCATACCCGAATGGTTCTAGGGCCCCAAAACGACTAGCTTCGTCGAGGCATGTGCCTGGTGGCTTTTGCCGGCAGAGAAACGGATCATCTGAAGATCGAGAAACTTGTTCCCAGATCCCAAGGGACCGTTTGGGGACCCTCATTACCCGCATGACCAGGCATCAAAGTTCATTATACTTCAGTGAGGCCCCAGCAAGATCAGGGATGCGCCCCTAAGAATAATCCCGCGACTGACCACCGATTTTGTCCATCCACAGTTCAAAACATCAATGCTTCGAATCCTACTGTAAACTCGCTTGCCCAAAGCCGACCTTTTGACCTTCTAGTTTCCTTTTTTGGTCCGTTTTTTGTCATGGCCCCAAAAGGCTAACATTTATTCTGGGGCTTTTAGGCGCCTTCTAGGGGCACCTACCAAAAACGTTGGGTTTTTAAAGTAATGGGGAATCATTCGCAAATAATTCCAACAGTCCCTCAATTTTGACCTCCAAAACTGGCCTTGGAATCAACCCCTAGACAAATGAACGCCTCAGATCGCTTTGCAAACTAGGGGAAACGGGTGTGTCTTTTTTGGGGTACCCCTTTTCCGGGAAACCAAAAAGAAGCCCCAGCCATGTCGGGAGTCTACGAAAAACTGTGGTTTTGGGGGGTGCCCTATTTTGACCCAGACCTGTATGGAGACCCCTTGTGTTGCCGAAGCCGCACCGCACCCCGACTGAAGGCGTCGCAGGAGCATCACAAGACCCCATCTCCAGGCTCCATTTTCTTCCTATTGCGCAACCCATTCTCCCGTTTCATGTTGGGAAGACTTGATCGATGCAGTGATGAAACTGGGGCGCTTTGACCCCAACTGCCCCTGGCCTTTCCTGGTTTGCAAGCTCCCTTGCCGCTTTCCCGACGGGCGCCTAGTCTTCCCATTGGTGCACAAACCCCAGGAAACACGCAAGTCAATCAGCCAAAACTGGTTCCAACTCTTTGTCCACCTAACGGGTCCCTGGCTGTGGCATCCACTCAAAGTACACAACACATCCACTTCGCGTTGATGGATGAAACCCGATTTGAATACTAAGCCACGAACCCCTGGTAGCGATCGTCGTGGGTTTGGCAACCATCAGTAGCTCCGGATGTTGCCGCGGATTTTACTCGGGAACCACCTCAAGCTGGAGGACATGAATTCCCACCAAAATGATCCACCCAAGGGTCCCTATTCTTTCAAGTCACACCCATATGAAGTTTTGAACTGAACTTATGCATGGTTGGCCTTTAGAGGGAAAGCAGAGCAAAGCAAACCATTCTTGGGGGTTCCCATGGTTCCCCTATTCAGATTGGATACATTGTTTGGTTGGTTTTGGGAGACCAAAAGGAAACCAACTTTTGTCTTGTCCCAGACTTACACCCATTCCAGCGAGTTCCTTGAGCGCTTCAGGAGAAGCAGCGCCTGGGCAGCAGCTTCAACGGCAAGGCCTTTTGGTCCATGAACGCGGTGCTCAGAGTCTCCTCCCAAAATACCCAAAGGGAAGATCTGCATTTTGCATTGCATTGCATCCACTGAGCGGTCTTGTCGCAGCAACAAGGAAATCAAAAAAACAACCGCTGTAGTGTTCCACAGTCAGACAGACTGCGCACGCTGACTCTGGGCTGGTGCGACTTACATACACAAAAGGCAATCTATGCTGATAGATCTGCAGATGAAACAACATTCCCGAATATATGTTTTCCATGCAACCCAGATGCTGGCCAAGAAAAGGGCAATGTTAGGTGGTTCTACCAGTGAGGGGGGTATATTACCGGGTGCGATGGAGGTATATGGCCTATGCATGTTGTTTGGTTTCATGTTTGTAGAGCCAAAGCCCCTGGTACTTCGCAGGGACATGGTGACGAGTTTTTCCCTCAAAGCCTTTCCTTGGAGACATGCCCAAGAGAGCTTTGTTCGTCCTGTGGGTAAGGGCTACCTGGGTGTTGTCTTCCGTTTTGTGGGTCTAAAAAGCTAAATTTGACCCCCTACCAAAATGAGGCAGCCAGGTGTGCGGCACACTGGTTGAGTTTGGGCAAATCAAATCCCGTCGCGCTGGCGCATATGAAGGTTGGTCAAAGTATTCCAAAATCGCGAAGAGGGTCATTAAACCCGTCTGAGCCCCCATTAAACCCCCGGTTGGTCCATTTGTCTAACCCCATCTAAGAACTTGAGGCATTGAGTCGCAAGAGCGAACTATCCGTGGGCCCGACTGATCTTCGGTGCAAACCACGTCGCGCGCCGAAACCGCCGAAGCACGCCGGAGGCCGATTGCGGCGCCGGTGCAACGACCTGAGAGCTCCGACGCGGACCAGCGCCTGGGCAGCGCCTGACGGTTTTGGCGGGGTGAACGGCGTGCGCGTTTTGATTGGCTTAGGGACGTGAAAAGGAACAAACACAGATGTTGTGGGGCTTTTTGATTTTGGCCCATACACGTTTGTATCCTGCTGGTTGGTTCAGTACGGAAGCCCTCAAATGTACCAATGGACATTCACGCTGGTTAAGCCTTCGCAGCAAGGTTTGCAGGCCACCAATGAGAGAGCTGAAATGCAAACCCAAGAGGCAAATTTCCAGCAGCACTTTCTGGTTCTGACTCAGGGCTTGGGGCGGGCGCCTGTGGTATCATGGAAAATTGTTGCCCAGCCGTTGGGGAAACAGAGAAAGGGGTACAAGCCCACGCTGCGTAGCTTACCGAACATGGGCACGAAATCCGGTTCCCCAACGTTGCAGCGATGGGCTACAAGAAGTTTGGTGAGAAGTACGGCAGTCCAGTTTCGCTCCCCCCTGTTTTGTTGCCTCAATTTCTGCCTGTTTTGTTGCGGCCAAGTCGAATCGATATCACTTGACTTGTCACTGGTAGGCATGTGCAACAAGAAGTCCGCATCAGTCACCTATGGTTTCCCATGCAATCAAGGCCTTCTAGCAATGGCTGATGCTATAGTTGATTGAAGTACAGTATCCGTGGGCCCGCTGGTAGAGGCCCATATGAAGACTGCCCTGAGGATCTTCCACCTCCTTCGAGTTCATGCACGCTGAGGGTCAACCACCCCCAGACCTTGACGGATCCCCGGACCTCAATACTGTCGGTGCCCTCGGCGCCGCCCCACTTTCTCCGCATTGGATTCTGGCGGGCTATATCATTGATTGGTCGCTTGGTCTGACCGTCGCTGAACATAACTGCGATGCAAATGCGGATGGCCAGGGGCAATTCCTCCCGCAGTTTGTGGCTTGCAAACCTCGTTGTGGCCTCCGAACACCAAAGTGAACTTCGACTGTGGAAAGCTTTGCGAGACAACGTGGTGCAGAATGCAGCCAGTGCACAGTGAGACCCGCTTGGTGAGGTCAGTCCTTGTGAGCAGGGTTCAAGCCCACTTTGCATTGCGACTGAAGGGGGGGTGGTCATAAGGGCTTCCCGTGTAAGGCAAACATGTTTGCGCAAGTGCAATTGTTGTGGCTGATGGCGTAAGCTGCCCCTGTGCTCACGTAAGCTCGTGTAAGCAACTTTGCGTAAGACTTCCTTACAACCTACATTTGAGCAGGACGTTTTGTGAACACCGCTCTTGTGCTCCTAATTTAGCGTTGGAGAGCAGGCTGCGCAGTGATGCGCCCAGTCTGGCAAAAGCGGCAACTTTCGCATTATCCCATTATGGACCTGCAGAGATGACTTCTCGCGAGCAGGTGTGCCTTCCTGTCTCCCCACATCCAGGCTGGCACTGATTTTTTGTGCCGACACGCAGCTCACACAGGCCGTCACGCATGGTACGCGTTGAATTGTTTTTCAATCTTTCAGCTGAAGCCTTCCTTGCAACTGGGCTTCTCAGGAGGCTTTGCCTTTCAGAGCTCCAGCCTTCTTGGGCCTGCCGAAAGCCCAAAGGCAAGGTGTGTGATTTGGCCCACGACAAGTTCGGCGCAGAAGGTCGGATTTGGAAGACGTTTTGTCAGCGCTGGGCCGCGCAATTCGCGTGCGGGAGTCGGCACAGCTGTGAACTGAGCATTTGGTGAGCAGCAATCACTGTGTCCGCGAAGAACGGCTGGCTGCAGCGCCGTGGGTGCCTTGTAAGGCCCCAGTCCATTGCGCGTCGAGCCTGATATCGGGTAGGCAAGAGCTCACCCATGCTGGATTTGACGGCCGCCAGCTGGGCGACATCTCCCGTTTTCTGACATACTGTGCATTTGTTTGGGGGTAAGGCCGTTGACAGTGTGATTTCGTGATGCCCCAATCGCCTGTCAAGCTTGTCGGCGAGCTAGTTCAATCAATCGAAGACTTGTAGCCGCCAACTGCGACAGTGCTTAGCGCAAATTTCATGAACCAGAATGGAGGGCCACCAAGAACGACACGCGCCCAAACAGATAGAACTGCAACTTTGCCTTCGCCCTTTGGCTTTGCGCGACGCTGGTGCAAGTCTGTTCAAGAACCAAAGCAAAGAAACAGAAGCCGACACACAACAATCCAGATAATGAAAGGTGGCCAGGGCTGCGGTCGATCAGCCATAGGCTTTGACCATTTGCAGACTGGCAGTGATGTCAAGATCGCAGCTTGACCTGCAATGTGCGACGTTTTCCAAAACGCCAACGATGCACGCTGGCGTTGAATATCTGGGCTGACATGCAGCTCGCGCAGGCCGTCATGCATGGGTACGCGTTGAATTGTCTTTCACCCCTCCCGGTTCACTGCTTCAATATTGGGGAGGGGGTACGCCCAACAATGTTTAATTCGTTAAGTGCTGGAAGCTGGGCACGTCAAGCCTGAAGATAAGCAAAGTGTACCCCCGCACCACTCCCATACCACTGTCCCTGCGCTCCCGCAACTGCTGTAGTGGATCAAAGCACGTCATGTTTTGTTGGCGCGTGTCGAAGTTTTGAAAATTCCACTTTTGACTCGTCTGAAAAGCAACAACAAGGCATGGACATATTTCCTTGGGAGAAAGTAACCTCAGACAACCGACGCATCTAGTTGTTCAGTTGGACGGCGGCCGACTGAAGAATTAACAGCCGGAACAAGATGCCGACGGGAAGCCCAGTGGCTCAGTCCGACTGTGAGTTGTTCAGTTGGACGCCGGCCAATTGAACAACTCAAGTTCTAATCAGAAGAAGTAACTCGCGGAAGCAAGCCTGTGCAAATGCTCCACGGGTTGTACTTTGTGTGAGCCAAAATCCTTGCCAAGCGGAATCGCCAAGCGACCCAAAGGAAGGAGCCCATGGGCACAATCAAAGACACCGCTTGACAATTGTCCACCCAGAACAAGAACTCTAGTACATTGCTTAACTTAGAGACGTGCCCCCGAACAAAATGTTAACATATTTGGGTCTGAGGGGGCTGCCCCCCCCCCCCAGCTAACCCGGGGCTATGTCTTTCAATCTTTCAGCTAAAGCCTTCCTGACAGCCTCCGCGGTGTGAAATATCGGGCCTGCCGAAAGCCCAAAGTCAACCTCCTCGCTGAGAGGCAAGGCGTTCTTTATGCAAGGTGTGTGATTTGGCCCACGACAAGTTCGGCGCAGAAGGTCGGATTTTGAAGACGTTTTGTCAGCGGTGGGCTGCGCAATTCGCGTGCTGGAGTCCGCACAGCTGTGAACTGAGCATTTGGTGAGCAGTAATCACTGTGTCCGCGAAGAACGGCTGGCTGCAGCGCCGTGGGTGCCTTGTAAGGCCCCAGTCCATTGCGCGTCGAGCCTGACATCGGGTAGGCAAGAGCTCACCCATGCTGGATTTGACGGCCGCCAGCTGGGCGACATCTCCCGTTTTCTGACATACTGTGCATTTGTTTGGGGGTAAGGCCGTTGACAGTGTGATTTCGTGATGCCCCAATCGCCTGTCAAGCTTGTCGGCGAGCTAGTTCAATCAATCGAAGACTTGTAGCCGCCAACTGCGACAGTGCTTAGCGCAAATTTCATGAACCAGAATGGAGGGCCACCAAGAACGACACGCGCCCAAACAGATAGAACTGCAACTTTGCCTTTGAGCTAGAACTGCCACTTTGCCTTCGCCTTTGGCTTTGCGCGACGCCGATTGTTCAAGAACCAAAGCAACTAAAAAGCAGGAGGTGACCCGCAACAATCCGCACCAGGCCCAAATAGCTCCCACTGGCTGAGAAAGGAATTCCAAAACATGTGCAATGCAAGTTGTGGCAATTTGTTGAACCCAGACCCAAAGCCCAAAGGCAGCCTATTTCCTGCGTGACGATGTAATGAATATAGCCGGGGACCGTGCTTGGAGCCACGCAGGGTGTGAACACTTGCAGCAACATGGCTTTGTGACTCAACATGCGTGGGAAGCCTCTTGGGCTACAACACAGTGGGGCAATCTGGCCAGGTGAAGCATTCCACCTGAGGTTGTGAGCCGGCCCTCCCTTGGTCCACCATGTCTCCTCTTATGTTATGGTGCAGTTCTTTGCTGCCGCGGCAGCTGGCAAGTTGACGTTGAAGGGCCCTTCCACCATGCTTGTTCCTTCATAAATCATTTGGTTTGCGGGGTCTGCCCAGTCCCATGATCGGATGATAGTGCAGACTTGTTTGTCGGCTCGTGCTTCGACCATGTGAGTCAGCGTCAAAGCTGCCTCATCTTTGCCAACCATTTGGAATGATCCGAGTGGCACTTGCAATAGCTTTGCTTGTCCCGCACAGCTTTTCATCAGCGGGCTAAGGCAGTACAAGCTTTCGCGCCTGGCTGCAGGCTTTGCCGCTCCCATGGTGCTGAGCACGGGTGGGCCTTTAGTCATTCGCAGAGGGTGAGTGATGTTCAGGTTTGCAAAGTCAACCGTGTTGCTCAGGGGCAAGGCATTTTCTGTGGCCCCGGGTCGCGCAGGGCTTGGTGTGGCATTGATTCGGCCCACTGCTCGCTGCGGCGGAGAAGGTCGGATTTTGAAGACGTTTTGTCAGCGCTGGGCCGGGCAATTCGCCTGCCGGAGTCGGCACAGCTGTGAACTGAGCATTTGGTGAGCAGGTGTCACTGTGTCCGCGAAGAACGGCTGGCTGCAGCGCCGTGGGTGCCTTGTAAGGCCCCAGTCCATTGCGCGTCTAGCGTGATATCAGGTAGGAAAGAGCTCACCCATGCTGGATTTGACGGCCGCCAGCTGGGCCCCATCTCCCGCATTCCCAGATTTGGGGGTAAGGGCGTTGACAGTCTGATTTCGTGAATGCCCCAATCGCCTGTCATGTCGGCGAGCTAGTTCAATCAATCGAAGACTTGTAGCCGCCAACTGCGACAGTGCTTAGAGCAAATTTCATGAACCAGAATGGAGGGTCACCAGAAAGGGACCCGCCAAAACCAGCTAGAACTGCCACTTTGCCTTCGCCTTTGGCTCAAATAGCTCCCACTGGCTGAGAAAGTTTGCAATGCAAGTTGTGTCAATTTGTTGAATCCAGGCCCAAAGTCCAAAGGCAGCCTATTTCCTGAGTGACGACGTAAGCTAATTCGACAAGACAAGCATCCGAAAAGAAGCAAAATGCTTTTGCAAACCGCGCTCATATTACACTCGTATTTGTAAACGCCCCACGCTCCCAACCCCCAACCCGTTTTTGCTATTGATGCACTACTATCCCAACATCTAGAAGGGGAAGCAAGGTCCCTTCCACAACCGCATCACCTTATTTGGAAGGTGGTGCCGGTGTCGTGTGAACACTTGCAGCAACTTGGCCTTGTGACTCAACATGCAAGGGAGAGGGTGTGAGCCAGCCTTCCCTTGGCGGTGGTGGCCTTCTGGTTCAAAGCCAAGACTCTTTTTGCGGAATCTTTCTGGATCGTTCAGGTGGCGCCAGGCAGGATTTTCCACTGGCCCGTATGGTTCCTCTTCCTTTCCAGCCATGGCAGCTGGCAAGTTGACGTTGAAGGGCCCTTCCACCATGGTTGTTCCTTTATCAATCAACTGGTTAGCAGTACATTATTTTGTGCCTGGCTGAAGTGGCATTTGACTAGTTGGGTTACAACCCCGCTTCTGGTAAGACAATCACCGGTCCGGGAAGGGACAAACCAAAGCAACCTTTTGGCTTGACAGTCCACATTTCAGGCAAAGCTACAAGGTCAAAGTCAAAACTGCTCGCTGCGGGGCAGAAGATCGGATAGTGCAGACTTGTTTGTCAACGCTGGATCATGCCTAAACCATGTGAGTCCGCGTCAAAGCGGCCTCATCTCTGCCAACCATAGGATTGACTCGAGTGGCATTTACAATCGAACAGCTTAAGCCAGCTTGCTACAGCAGTACAAGCTTCAGCCAGCGGGCTAAAGCAGTACAAGGTGTGACCGCTTCCATGATGCTGACTAATGGTAGGTCTTTGGTCATTTGCAAAGAGGCAGTGATGTCAAGTCCCAGCTTGACCTGCAATGTGCGATGTTTCCCGGAAGAGATGTGAATAGAGGAAGTGGCCTTTGATTAGTTGGGTTCCAACCCCGCTTCTTGTAAGACAATCACCGGTCCGGGAAGGGACACAACCAAAGCAACCTTTCGGCTTGACTGTCGACATTTCAGGCAAAGCGACAAGGTCAAAGTCGAAACTGCTCGCTGCGGGGCAGAAGATCGGATAGTTCAGACTTGTTTGTTAACGCTGGATCATGCCTAAACCATGTGAGTCCGCGTCAAAGCGGCCTCATCTCTGCCAACCATTGGATTGACTCGAGTGGCATTTACAATCCAGCGGGTTGCAGCAGTACAAGCTTACGCCAGTGGGCTACAGCAGTACAAGCTTCAGCCAGCGGGCTAAAGCAGTACAAGTTTTTGCACCTGGCTGCCAATAGGGCGTGACCGCTTCCATGATGCCGACTAATGGTAGGTCTTTGGTCATTTGCAAAGAGGCAGTGATGTCAAGGTCCCAGCTTGACCTGCAATGTGCGACGTTTCCTGGAAGAGACGTGAAAGGAGGAAGTGGCATTTGATTAGTTGGGGTACAACCCCGCTTCTTGTAAGACCATCACCGGTCCGGGAAGGGACAAAACCAAAGCAACCTTTTAGCTTGGCCGTCGACATGTCAGGCAAAGTGACAAGGTCAAAGTCAAAACTGCTCGTTGCCGGGCAGAAGATCGGATAGTGCAGACTTGTTTGTGGCATTTGCAATCACCTGGAGAACCCTTTGATATTCGAGCATTTTTTGAGGCTGCCTGGCAGCTCTGGTGAAGTGCTCGAGAGAAAACGAACCCGCAACTCGAGCGCAATTTCCCGCCACTTGGGCGCAATTTTCCGCAACTCGGGCGCAATTCCAAAAAGTGTGCAGAGCCAAAGCTCTGCCCCGCCATCCCTGTGTTTGCATGTGTTTCCATTTGCCATTACTCGCGCACTTATTTGCCACGAAAGCTCGAGCAAACATTTGTGTAGCAATGGGTCTGCAGGCACTTTGCTTGCTTAGGACCAGCTGGCTAAAGCAGTACAAGCTTTTGCGCCTGGCTGCCAATAGGGTGTGACCGCTTCCATGATGCTGACTAATAACCAAAGCAACCTTTCAGCTTGACTGTCGACATTTCAGGCAAAGCGACAAGGTCAAAGTCGAAACTGCTCGCTGCGGGGCAGAAGATCGAATAGTGCAAACTTGTTTGTCAACGCTGGATCATGCCTAAACCATGTGCGTCCGCGTCAAAGCGGCCTCATCTCTGCCAACCATAGGATTGACTCGAGTGGCATTTACAATCGAACAGCTTAAGCCAGCTTGCTACAGCAGTACAAGCTTCAGCCAGCGGGCTAAAGCAGTACAAGCTTTTGCGCCTGGCTGCCAATAGGGTGTGACCGCTTCCATGATGCTGACTAATGGTAGGTCTTTGTTTGGTATTGTCGAGTTCAGAGCGGGCCGTAACGAGGTCTTGTCAGCCTGCAAACAGGACATTCGTAGGATCAGCCATCGCGCAGCTGCCGGGCATCTTCTGCTCGAGCACTCAGCTGGGAGTGCAGAGGGGTGGCAGCCATGCTTCCTGCTTGATTTGCCCCTCCCGGCTGTGCTTACCACCCAATCTTTCACGCCGCCATCGCTGAGGGATTCCGGTGGCTTTTCTTTGCGCCATTTCACATTTGGCTTTTCTTTGCGCCATTTCACATTTCTGTGGTGGCCAGCTGTTGCTGATGCAGCGGCATGCTTTTTGAGGAGTTGGGTGGATTCTCTCCAACCAGGTGTGCGTGGGCAAAAGCTTCCGAATTCGTAGTCACCTTTGATCATTGAGCAAGATGGCTGAAGCGCATGAGACGACAATGGTCATTTGCAGAGAGGCAGTGATGTCAAGGTCCCAGCTTGACCTGCAATGTGCGACGTTTCCCGAAAGAGACGTGACAAGAGGAAGTGGCGCTTTGATTGGCGCAGCTCAACCTGCAATGTGCGACGTTGCCCCTTTAACGGTATAGACCTTTGGTCATTCGCAGAGGGGCAGTGATGTCAAGGTTCCAGGCTTACTGCCTGCGAGAAAGGTGGCATTGGCCCTTTTTCAAGGCTTGCCGTCAAGAGCTTGTGTGCCAACATCAGCGCTTGTGAGAAAGATGGGCGCTGGCAGCAGACATTGGCCTTGTTTTGCGCAATGCCCTCAGCAAAAGTTCCGATCGCACGCCTTTGCTTGGCAGACAACAAGTCGGCAGATCCAAGGACTTGTTCAGTGCTGACTTGGCCCCTACAACTGGCTGTGCAAGACCAGGATGACTCAACTTTCTGAGCTCGTAGCTCTCGGCGGCAAGAGCAGCGAGGTGAGCTTGGAGGCGAGGGAAGATGCCGTAAAATCGGCTTTGCTGTGATCCGTGCGTATGTGGCCTTGGCTCCGCCAACGCGGTTGTGGCAGATTGGGTCGCCAGTTGCTCGTGGCTCAGTGGCCTGCGCAGATGCAGCGTTGTGCGCCAGATTTGCGAGCTTGGCCGGGCCACGCGTTGCCGGATCTCAGAATCGTGTTTTGCCTTTCCGCAACATGGCGAAGCAGATCCTGGCGCAGCGGCTTAGCCAGATTTCAACCCATGCCTCAGCCTGACAGTTTGGGCAGGATTTGCGAGAAGGGGACTTCCGCCAGCTTGTTTCACGGAGGAGAGCCGCGTCTAAGAGTCTACTCAAAGGAGTGTGGGACTTGGCTTTGAGGCAGGCGTTGTGGGACCTGGGGCCCTACATCGAGGCTGCCTGTCTGCCGATGGTCAGCGCCTAGCGTCAAAACGGCGCATCCGAGTTTTTTTGGGAACTACTTACTGGCTGCGTCGATTGCTAGGTTTGGGCAATAAAATAGATTTTGCGAGGTCCGGGCTAAATATTGATTTGATTGTGTACTACAGAAATGGCCTCTAAGACTTTCATTGTAAACAATGTTGACTGTGGACGGGACTCCTGAGATACTGCTGTAAGCAGCCATAACTCAGCAGGCCTTTGCTCAGTTCACTTGTTTCTGGACCCGAGTTTTTGCTGCTAATCTTAGGCGAACGATTCTGTGTATGTTCTGGCGCCATGCCCTTGCTCCTGGTTTTTTTGGTCAGCAATTGCCAGTAGCGCAAGGTTGCAACGGTTTGGGTCAGAATGTTTGGAGGCTGACGTTGCAGGACGGCAAGGGTGGCTTCATCCCAAAAAAATGTACTGCTGAAGCTCAATATTGAACAAAGAATCCTTGCTAGGAACAGATGCTGTGGGTTCATGGTTGGTGTTCATGTCCAATGCCCTTCCTTCACAAAACGGGAGACTGACTGAAGAAGAGAAGCAAAGCAAGGAGCGATGGAAAGCAGTGCGTGAGCAGTGATGCAACGCTTTTTTCTTCAACGCTTTGTTGAAAGTGTATCCAACTGCGTCGTGTCAGAGCTTTGCTCCGAGACAATGAAGGTGGAAAAGCCGAACAGGATCAAGTGTGACGCGGATGAGATCGACATTTGATGAGAACCTTGGGGGGGAGCTGTGGGTTCGATGGAGGCCAATGTGGAGGAATCAGAGATGATCCAGCCCCTTCCAAACTTTCGGGGATCGGCGTGTGCAGGTGGCTCACGTTCTCCCCACCAGGCATGGAACCATGCCCAGGAACAGACAAATTTGACTGCAGTTTCCGTGATTCAACCTCATTATTGGGTCGTGTGTTGATGTTCCGCAGGCTCCCTTTGAAAAGGGCGACGCTGTGCAGGGCCTGTTTGGTGGATGATTATGTCGTTGCTTTGAATGCAGGTGTTCCAAGCTTGCGCCCTTGCGTCCTTCGCCAGCTTTGTGCTCGAGGTAAGCTTGAAGATCATTGGGTTTTTGCCAAGGACTCATTTATACATATACATATAGCGGCTGCAGAATAGTTACACGAGTTTTGGAAGCAATGGCCTTCGACCGGGAAGGCGGTGACTCAAGTTTTAGGCTTTCAGTTGAGGCCAACATGTGCACATGTTGAGCGCAACTGAAAGAACAGGAAAAACCCTCAGCCTGATTTGGGTTGGGGCTAAGCGCAATCCCGCCGATGCCGCCGTCATGACCTCGCGGTTGCCGCCGGAAGTGCCGGAGGAACCAGGTTGCACAGGTTGCGGCGGCTGCATACGTTGCATGTGTAGCATGAGTTGCGTTTCATAACTGCATACGGTGTAGAAGTTGCATGTTTGAAAGGTACCAGGACTATGTAGCTGGCCCCAGGCTCAAGATAACTCAAGAATCAAGAGTTGGGTTTCGATGTGGTGTCACCATCTTAGTCTGGTTTGCCCTGCCTTGGCTGCTTCTCGGAACTACTTCGTTAGGCATGTTCCAAGAGGATGCCGCTTGCATGCTTGGGGAACTCCAGCAACAGCAATCGAAGTAGATACGCCGGCCAGCCTCTTACGAGGATGACATGTTCAGAAATCAGCTGAGCGATCTTTGCTTTATGAAGGAATGAGAATACTGTTCAAGTCGATGCCTGTCGAATTCGGGGGAGAGATCAGGTCTCATAGACCATGCCAGCTTGTTGTTCAAGTTGCTTTGAGCCATGGCCATGCACATGCAACCAGGCATTGTGTGAAAGAAGGCAGACTTTTCCGAGTTTTGCTTAGGCGCATGCCAGGCCTCGCCCATTTTCCTTGCAGTTAAATCCGTAGGACTCTGCCGACCTGGAGTTCTGGCGAAGTGAAAGCACCTTGGATTCGCTGGCAGTGGATGAAAGCTGGCTTGGCTTCTCAGTATGGTACAACTCACGCTGTGTTCTTTTGACTGTCGCGATGGGTTCACTACAATCTGTAAAGTGGCCTGTTCAAGCTCAATGGTTGATGCAAGCACACATGAAAGGGATGGTGGTGTTTGAGCTCCAAGAGGTTCACCAAACATCGTCGGGACTGAAAGTCGCAGAGTTCATGATTCTTGGCAACGCCCTGCCAAAAGCAAGGAATATGACGGAATATGTTGGTCCACTTGAATCTCCTTTTGCAATTGACCAGTGGGAATGGCGCGGATTTGCGCAGTGCCAGCATTGACGCTTATGGCATGCTCGCTGCACCTAAGGAGGATATAGTGAGCCCCTTTTCCTGCATGGCTTTTGGTGTTGAAGGCGACAGCTTTGCGGCCCGTGTCTGCTGTGTGCTGGCCGCATGTGATTCAAGGCCTGAGTGTGGGATGTCCCATTTGTTGCCGTGAATTTCAGTTGCTGGAGCTAGCCACGGATCAGGTGGTCTCAGGTTGAACACCATCGTGGGACCCCCGTCGTCGAAGGCCTCCCCGATCCTCCCTCGAAGGAGTCAATGGCAATTCCATGGCCACGGTGGGAAATATGCTGACACTGTCGGGTGGAAATGGTTGGCTTGTCATTCGGCTGCCCTTGAACAACATGTGGTCAATTTGGGCTCCTGTGCAAACCCTTTGGGAGCCAAACAGCAAAACAATCCACAGATCAAAGCTAGAGACACCACTGCCCGCGACAAAGTGAAGCCAAACACCTTCCTTGTTCCTTTTTTTAACCCTTGCGTTGGTTCACGACATGACCCTCCCACCAACTAAGATGGAACCTGATGTTCGGGTCCTGGTTTGGACCATGTTCCTTTTCAAGCGACTGGGTCCCGAAGTTCAAGTTCCATGTACTACTTGGGGTCAAGAACTAGTGTGACATTAGGCTGTGGCTCAACGACCAATCTGAGATGAGCTTTGCACCAACTTTGCCCAAGGCTGGGTGCTGCTCTGGAGCGGCCGGCCGCTGCAGCTGCCCGCACTGGGCTCTGCGGCGCACCTGGTGCGCCAGGCCTTGCTCCCCGGGTCCAAGGTGGACTTCCCGCAGATCACCGAGCCCACAGCTCAGAGAGAATCGGAGCCCGTCTCACCTCGAAACCCGGAATTTCCAACCGGGGGAAGGACTCAGAGAAATATTTTTATTTCGAGGCCTAAAACCCCACTTGGGCCGAGAGAACCAAGCGGAAGACTGCGCGTTGACTTGGGCAACTCGCTTCGACAGATGCCCGTTTTTTTCGCTTTGCCTTTTGGGTTCTAAGGTATCGTGCTAAAATAGGGGCAGGTTGATATGTGGATCGATCTGCTCACAGGTGAGTTTGTAGTTGGCGCCGCTTGCCACTTCTTCGTTTTTTGCCTGGCTGTTGGTTGGCTTTCGGTCTGCTGACTCACCGTTCGGGTTCAAGCACGCCCCTCGTTCGAGGATTTGCGAGCTGATCGCCGCGAAGCCGCAAGAGGGGCCGGAGGCCATTCGCCTGCTGGTTGCGGCCATGCGCGACAAGGAGGGCGGGTGGGGTTTTAAGGATACCGTGTCCTCTAAAACAGGAGGTGGGGGGGGGGGACGATGTGTCTTGTGTTGAGGGCACCTTCTGGAAAGCCAACGGCAAGCACCCAGCTTCAAGGGTGCCAGAGGGCAGCGCCCGTGGTTTGCTTCTTGCTTTGGTGTCAAACTCCTAGGCTGAGAGCTTCGCGCCATATCTTTTCTCCGTGAATCGGATTTTGTGCCGTTCCCGCTCAGCCAGCTCAAGCCTAGCCAGGGCGTGAAAGGGTCCAAGTGTCCCTGCGAGCGCAGGGTCAAGAGTTGAAAGCATCAAGACTTGGACATGCGTTTCATTTGAGTTTTCGCCCTACAAGGCTTGCATTGCTAGTGTGCGCAGTGGAAGTGTACGCAGTGGAAGACACACACACACACGCACCAACAAAACAACGAAGAGGTCGGCTTAGAACCATCTTTCCCCCTCTCCCCGCACTTTCTGTCAGGACGGGCCCTTCAGGAAGAAGCTAAAAGCGCTCACCATTGCCAATGTGTCCTGGCAAGCACAGTCTCTCGGTTGGCTTCTCGCTGTTTTGGGTCTCGGTATGACGGGTTACATAGCACCCAAGTCCAAGCAGAAACCCATCGCCTGCTCATCCGAAAGCAGAAATCAGGCACCGCATGCAAAGGAAACAACCCTGCAATCCAGGTAAGCAATTGTTTGCGACGCTTTTGTTCTCTCCAAAATCAATGAACGAAATGAAAACTTGGGGACTGCGCCCTTGTAAGGGGAACACAAAAGCCTTACCGGCGCCGCATGCTGTGCTACGTCAGGTTGGCTTGCTTGAACGAACCTTTCGCCGGCTACGGATGCCCTGTACAGTCAACGCAAACTTTACCATGGCTTTGTGGTCAATTCTTGGTGAGCTCACCTCCAGGTTTAGGGCAACATCCCTAACCTCCAAGCCAATCCTCCAGGCCACCTCTCGGAAAGGCGAGAGAACTCTTCCTGTGTCCCTCCTGTTGCGCTTGAAACGAACCCACCAAATCACAGAAAACATGCAGAAGGGTTTGTGCACTGGATTGTCTTGGACCTTGTCATGCGGTTCCATTCGCAACATATCCAGGCAATTTGGCATTGTGACCTTGACTTCAACAGCTGATTCCGGATGGAGGTTGAGGTCGCTCAGAATGGAATGCATTGTATCCTGCGCAATGATTTGCGAGTGCAAAATCCCCGCCGCATTTGCTTTGTTACTCGGGTCTTTGGATGGCATCCGCGTTGCTACTATCTCAAACAGGCAGCCGAAGCACACAATTCTGCACCACGTCCTTTTGAATGAGTCGAACCTGGCCCATGGTTCATAGCGCCTCAAGCACTTGAATAGATCAGTGGCCGAGTTGCACAAAAGGCACAGCCCGTGAGAGGCAAACAGGCACGTCGCCCGAGCTCCAGCTTACTTCCAGACTTGCAGGGAGTGTACCTTTCGCGGAATGAAGAGAGATAACATTCCATTTTTGTGCGTAACTTCTCTTCTCCCTTGATTCTCTGCTCCATGTTTTTTCCTGGCCCACGACTCACCGAAAAGCGTTGTTGTCCTCGACGTATTCCGCTAGGAGATGCTCTATGATGAGAGCTCCATCGTTTGCTTCCGAGAGGCGTGGGTTACAAGTTGAGATTCGTGTGCTGCAATTGGATGCCTCGGGTTTCAAGTCCAAACATCAATGGGGCATTTCGATGACCGGAGAGCACTCCTTGAAAGGCTGTTCCCCCAGACGCAAGTATGGCTGACATGAGTGCTTGGGCCTTGCTGCCAATGTTCCTGTCGTGGAACTCACCGGAAGGGACCTTGAGGACATGAGCCAGTACACAAAACCGTACCCCCCAATTGCAATCTATACAAAGCAGGTTGAGGCAAGAACTCCACACAAAATGGAGCTGGGGCAGGGATGTGACGCACTGGGAACTCAAAAAGTGTTTCCTCAAATCCGTCTGTTCTTTGGTCTGAAGCTGTTCGTTTGCCGCATGGCCGGAAGGTGCCGAACCTGCAGCTGGCGCTGCAAGGCCTGCGCACACTGAAGGACTCGGGGCTCAGCGAGTGCCCGGGCCGATGGGCTGATGGGCTGGGTGGAAAACCCGAAACCCGAGTGGGTTGCCTTCCGAACGCTCGGATCTCAGATATTTTTACTGCCCCCAAATCACTGGCTCCAGGGCTTTTTTTGTGCTTGTACACTCCATATCCTGCAGGTAATGGTTCCGGGTCGTAAGGATTATCTTGGAGAGAAATACGGGGTGCTGTTTCGGTTTGTTTTTGGGGCAAAAGGAAGCCAGCCGTTTGGAGGCCGCGCGCTCAGGCCCGCGAAAAGCGTACCCGGAGGAAAGAAGGAAGGCAAGTGAACCCAAAACGCTGCGAAGCCGCCTCAAAGCAAAATCGGGTTTGCTCATGAACGTTCAAAGAGCAACAGATACCACAGTCACCAAAAGAAAGAGCGCCAATCACCTCGGGATCACTGGAGAACGCTCATCGAGTTGAGAGCTGAGCCTGCCCGAGGAAAGGCGCACAAATCGAGATGTCCCTTTGATGTACCGTGGGTTTCTGCGACCGATGAATAGCACGGATCGTGACCCAGTTCCCGCCAGAAGTTCTAGGTGTTTATGGAATGTGCCCTTGCAAATTGGCAGACAACATGATGTCTACATTTGTTCCGTTGAATCGTTGAAGAATTACTCCCAGGAACGGTTGGCTTTGTTTGCATCTTCGTTTGAACCTCCAAACAGTTTTCGATTGTCTAAGGAATTTCTGTATGACATGCCCCAGGTACGTGGATGAAAACATCCGCATGCTCGCAACAGAGGTGGACAAGGCCTGGCAGACTGGGGCGCTGGGGCTCCGGGGCTCGTTTAAAGAGGTCCTGGGTGGGTTGCATTGGTTACTGTGGGTGACCAACATCCTGCACCTAGGAAACTCTGGATTGATACGATCCCCCTGCAAATACCAACTAACAATGGCTGCCTATGGTTTCAGAGTGGTGCAGGAGTTCGTCCATCCACAGTGTCCACAGTATGCAGACTTTCTGCACATTGGCCGAGTCAGTTGGCATTCATCCCAAGGATTGCGTAGTGGGAGCTCCATGAAGGCGTGTGCGCATGTGCCGTCAGCAAATCGCAGAAGGATGGGCCTCTGCCGTCAGGATGGGCCCTGTGCACGGACTGGAACGCGCTTGCAACAACTGTGGGATGACTGTGGCCCACTCAAAGGGAAACTCAAACTTGGGAAGTCTCTGTGTTTTAGACAAGGAAGACGAAGAAGAAGAGCAAGAAGAGCAAGCAGAACAAGAAGCACAAGAAGCACAAGACACACAGGAGGAACAAAAAGAACGAGAAGCACCAAGAAGACCAATAATATCAAGAATAACAGGAAACACATGCTACCGCTATGGCAACTGCTGCTACTTCTACTGCTACACCACCAGTACTTGTGAGGCCGCTTGGGTGCAACGCCTGCGTCCTTATTTACCATGCCAGCATCCGAAGATCCGGGAAGACGCGTGGGCATGGGATCCGCGTGAGCATCGCAACATCCAGCTCCAAGTAGCTGGAACGCTGAGATTAGAGGTGTCTGGTGATGCACAAAAACTTGGAGGCAGATTTCCACCCTTTGATTCTTCACCACGGATGTTGGATGACCACTTTCTTCCTGCACATTGATCATTAACACGTGAATGATAATTCATCAACCTCAATAAAGGGGGCAACCCATCTTTTAGTTCAACTCATTCCTATTTGCTTTCCCTCGAAGTCCAATCCCCAGGCCCGACACCGCCCCTCGCCGCGCGGCATCGCGCGCAGGTCTGCTTTTCCGAGACGGGGGGCGGCGCGCGGGGCCACGCCTCACGGCTGCGGAGCCTGGGCAGCGCGCTGAAGACCAACCTGGAGGCGGCCGCTGCCTTCTTGCGAGTTTCGAGTTTCGACTTCTTTTTCTTTTGACCGCGGGGCGCTGCTTTTTGGGGGGCACCGCGGGGTATTTTTTTTTTTTTTCGGGGGCGAGCTTCTCCTTTGCGCTACCGGCGCGAAGCGGGGACCGGCGACATTTTGTGGTGCAGGGGGCGAGCTGACGAAACTTTTAGTTGCTTGATTTCGGCAACTTTGAGACTGAGGTCAGCTGTCCCTTTTCCTTGAGGACCGGGCTTGTGGTTTGCATGGAGGACTTTTCCGGAACTGCAAGGGGGACAATGCATCGTCCAAGGTGAGCACTTGCGGTAGAGAGACCAGTCCTATGATTCATGCCAGCACCATGTCGTGCGAATGAAAGTCGAAATTGGGAAGGCCCTGAACCCAAGTGAGCTGTGTCATTTCAAACATATCCCATGAATCTCAGGAAGTCTTGTTTTGCATCTTCCGGGGAGGGGCGTTCGCGGGTTGCGAGGCTCCGGGCGTTTGCCCCATGCGTTTTGATTGACGCGGCTCGACAGGCGGCGGCAAAGAATCTCCGGCGCGGCGAGGAGAGCGGGAAGCCGATGCCGCAGAACACGCGGCTCGGAGCTCTTGAGGAAACGCCCGAGCGAAAATCCGAAAACCCAAATAAAAACCTCGGATTCTGGCCGGAGTTCTTGCAGAAGATTCATTACGTAGTTTACAGTATGTTCTCATAGATGTCAGAGTTGTTTTTGTGGTTGAAGGGTAGGTTTGGGTTGAGTTTGTGGTTCTTCGGGCTGTGCAGCGGCTATTTGGTTGGTGTAGGGTGGCTCAATGTTGGGTCGGGTTTGGTTTAGAGTTGGGTTACAGTGGGATTCCATGGGGGCATGATTGGATTCTTTTTGACCTTAGAGGTTTGACGGGCCTCGAGTTTTTTTGTTCTCCTAGGTTTGGGCTGCGTCGTTATGACATGCCTTCCATGCATGCCGGGAGTTGTAGGTTGCAAATGGCACGGGTGAAAACCATTTGGACCCTTTTAAGCCCCGTTTTTTTCGTTCTTGGCAACCGATGTCCCAGACCAACGCCAACCCCGAGGCATCGCTGATTTTGAGTTGGTTTCCCTTCAAGGGTCTAAATGGTAGGCGTGAGTTGGGAGTGGCTCGGCCTGGCCCCAGGTTCTACTTTGATGAGCATCACCAGTCCGGGCCACAGTTGAAAGACGGCTTGTGTGTAAGCGGCCGCGCGAAAAGAGGGTCTGTTTGATCCGATGAGTTGTTTGCCCGTTCCTTTTCTCGTTTTGCTTGCAGTTTCCGAACTTAGACTCTGGTTTCGGTCTGCTAGTCTACGAGTCATAGCCCAGCCGAATGTTTCTTTCCACATGGAGCCTAGGGTCCTTGGTCCAATTGGTGTGTTTGCCCCTTTATTCACGCCCAACTTGACTGCTGGGTGAATGGTGAATCTGAGCTTGGGCCGAGATCGAATCTGGGCATGTCATTGTTGGGGTTGAGCACGGCGACCTGAAGAAACCACGCGTTTTCTATTGTTGGGGATGACCAATGTGTTGCCTCTGCGCACAGATTGTGTTTACGCTGTGAGTTTGGCCTCATGAATCCGTGCGGGACACACCTCTTGCGAGATGTCTTTTGTGTTTGAAGGCACCTTATGAGCGCTTGAAGCTGGTGGGGGGAGCCGATTTGCAGATGCTAGGGTCAGACGTGCGGGTGTGCGTGTCAACTTCCAGATCTTTCGAGTGGCTTCCTTGTTTGGCCCAAAGGTTAGGGGAATGGTGAGCCCCAAGCCTCAAGCATTCGCCAGCGGTTGCGTTTTTTCGCTTTTTGTTTTTCTTTATTATTATTATCATTCAAGTCACAGCCATTCCAGAAAGAAAGCGTCCACCCCCTTCTCTGGCTGAGACGGATTACGTCTTTCCTGTTGGTCTGTCCGTTTATCAGGTTGCCACCATGCACACACCAACCATGAATTGACTGGATCGTGGGATCTAATCATGTCGCCACCATCACGCAAGTACCTTGAACGAACTGACAGGTGTTCTTATCATGTTGTGATCTTGCACGCAAGTACGTGAATGCACTGGCAGGTGTGGTATTATCATTTGTCACCATGCGCGCAACAACCGTGATAACACTGGAATGCGACTGCTTTTCTTTTTGCAACAATGCACACATCAACCATGAACGCACTGGACCTGTGATTTCATCATGTTGCTCCTATGTTCCATTCTGCCCCCGTGCACTTGGACATGTTACAAGGACTTGGGTTTCCAATACGTGTATGTATGTATGTGTGTGTGTGTGTGTGACGGGAACCGATCATTGTGTTGGCTGAATGTCCTGATAGGTGGCTCTGAATTCACGTGGTACTTCTTTTGGATGTCAAAGAAAGTCCCCAAGGAAACCCGTCAAATTCAACCCCTCGACCCTTCAACCCCTTGACCCGTCAAGGTACCCGGTGGCCTTTTCTTGCCTGTTTCTTCTCGAGGCGCTGGCGCCAGCGAGGCGTGGCTGATGGACTTTCGGCCACCTGGCAGTGAAGTGACCCCGAGCAGCTAATTGAAGCCCAGAGACTTGGGGTCCCTGAAGGGGAACCCATTTGTCCAAGGGCGTTTTCCCATAACACTAAAGAAGCCTGCTCCCATGGAAGCTGACGATGGGAGGGTTTTGGACCACTTTCCTTGGGCAACCCCTCTGTCCGTCGTTGGAAGAAGGGTGTATGCGAACCCATGTGTGGCATGTTTCCCCTGGTTCCAACACATCCTTAAAACAAACCGGCCCCGGGTGCTTGAACGAATTGCAACACCCTTTTCGAGGTAAACCCCAGGAGGGGTACCATCGCAAGACACACCGATGTCAAGCCCTTGTATGAGCTTTTCTCAAATTGGACTTAAGGTGGTTGGCTCCCGAGGGTTTCCCGCGAAACTGCATCTTCGCCCAGGATCGGCCTGAGAAGCCAGGCGGGAGCTGTTTGAGATCTGCAACCCAAGCCGCCACTTGCCCAATCTGCAGCTCAAACTGCCAATTTTGGGCAGGGGGATTCCATGTCCTCATCGAACGAGAAATCAACCATTGTAGGGGTCCCGAATGTTAGGAAACAGATGGGTGTGAGTTGGCCCCAAGAGTGGGAGTCAAAACACAAAGGATACCCATGAAACGGGTCGAACTCTGACAGGACTCGGACACCTCTGCACCTTTCGTCCGACGAAAATCCTTGCGGTTCACTTGGGATCAGCTCTTTCACACATGGCATAGCGTTAGGGGTTGTTGAGCCAGCGATTGCATCCCTTTTCTCCACCATTTCATTGTTTTCGAGATTTCTTGGTGCGAAGGAGATGGAATGAACATATACACAAAAATAAGAGAGTGCGAAGCCGTCACTTGGAGTTGATGTAACGGCTTCCCTCACCCTTCATTCCTTTTTCATTCGCAGCCTGTTCTCATGGACCTGAAAAGCGCAACCTTAAACACAAAACATCGAAATTCGTACTCGGCGAAAGGACATCCGCTTGACATTGACAGTCAAAAGGTGATGTCTCAAAAAACAAACAATAAGATACAAGAAGTAGTGCGAGTCCACTCGTTTTTGGTTGAGATGTGTTGGGTTGTTTCTGATGTCCCAAGCTCCAAATTCACCGTAGACCGCTGAACGTGTTGACCGAACCAACAAACCAGCGAATCCCAGTGAATCTGAAGGACCTATGCCACACAACCTATGAGCGCGGCCTTGAGACTTTCTGTGAACCCCGGGAAAAGATGCTTCATGACTTCCATATCTAAGTATTTTGCGCCTTGTCCAGCCATGCCTTTTCCAACCGGTAAAGACCAAGACGAAAGCGAATGTTTCCGCAAGGCACCATTAGCACCACAAACGAGAAAGGCAAGCCAATGCGAAATCTACCCTTTTTCCAGCAGGCTATGTGCGAATTTGGGGGACCCATTGGCCTTTTGGTTTTGTTGTAAACCCCAAACATGTAGCTTGAGTGTCAGCTCGGGCCGGGCAAGCAGCAGGTGGCTTCAGCGATGCTACAAATGCAGCTGCAGCAGCTGCCCCTGCAAATCCCTTTGGCGTGGCTGGGCTTTGGCAATATGTGACTCACATTTCGCTTGGCTTTGTGATCAATTGAAGCAACCCGCAAAATCCCAAAAGGTAGCTTGAAGAAACAAGGACAAGACGTTGAATCTGACCCCGCGCCTTTTTGCGTCTGACACCGTAATGTTGTCCCGGTTAACACTGCGTCTCCCACGGTGCCGACCTGGCCTCTTTTTGATACTGGCTTGGTATCATGCTTTCAATCGCACAATCCTTTTTTTTGAAGAAGCCTCAACCCCCCCACCCCTTTACCCCCCGGCCCCCCCCCCGGGGAAACTTCCGGAAGCCTTTGGGACTAAATTTTCGCCCAGGATCGGCCTGAGAAGTCAGGCGGGAGCTGTTTGAGATCTGCAACCCAAGCCGCCGCTTCCCCAATCTGCAGCTCAAACCGCCAATTTTGGGCAGGGGGATTCCACGTCCTCATCGAACGCATCAGCATGGCGCAAGCGAAACCAAGAGAAATCAACCATTGTAGGGGTCCCGAGTATTAGGAAACAGATGGGTGTGAGTTGGCCCCAAGAATGGGAGTCAAAACACAAAGGATACCCATGAAACGGGTCGAACTCTGACAGGACTCGGACACCTTTGCACCTTTCGTCCGACGAAAATCCTTGCGGTTCACTTGGGATCAGCTCTTTCACACATGGCATAGCGTTAGGGGTTGTTGAGCCAGCGATTGCATCCCTTTTCTCCACCATTTCATTGTTTTCGAGATTTCTTGGTGCGAAGGAGATGGAATGAACATATATACAAAAATAAGAGAGTGCGAAGCCGTCACTTGGAGTTGATGTAACGGCTTCCCTCACCCTTCATTCCTTTTTCATTCGCAGCCTGTTCTCATGGACCTGAAAAGCGCAACCTTAAACACAAAACATCGAAATTCGTACTCGGCGAAAGGACATCCGCTTGACATTGACAGTCAAAAGGTGATGTCTCAAAAAAACAAACAATAAGATACAAGAAGTAGTGCGAGTCCACTCGTTTTTGGTTGAGATGTGTTGGGTTGTTTCTGATGTCCCAAGCTCCAAATTCACCGTAGACCGCTGAACGTGTTGACCGAACCAACAAACCAGCGAATCCCAGTGAATCTGAAGGACCTATGCCACACAACCTATGAGCGCGGCCTTGAGACTTTCTGTGAACCCCGGGAAAAGATGCTTCATGACTTCCATATCTAAGTATTTTGCGCCTTGTCCAGCCATGCCTTTTCCAACCGGTAAAGACCAAGACGAAAGCGAATGTTTCCGCAAGGCACCATTAGCACCACAAACGAGAAAGGCAAGCCAATGCGAAATCTACCCTTTTTCCAGCAGGCTATGTGCGAATTTGGGGGACCCATTGGCCTTTTGGTTTTCTTGTAAACCCCAAACATGTAGCTTGAGTGTCAGCTCGGGCCGGGCAAGCAGCAGGTGGCTTCAGCGATGCTACAAATGCAGCTGCAGCAGCTGCCCCTGCAAATCCCTTTGGCGTGGCTGGGCTTTGGCAATATGTGACTCACATTTCGCTTGGCTTTGTGATCAATTGAAGCAACCCGCAAAATCCCAAAAGGTAGCTTGAAGAAACAAGGACAAGACGTTGAATCTGACCCCGCGCCTTTTTGCGTCTGACACCGTAATGTTGTCCCGGTTAACACTGCGTCTCCCACGCGTGCCGACCTGGCCTCTTTTTGATACTGGCTTGGTATCATGCTTTCAATCGCACAATCCTTTTTTTTGAAGAAGCCTCAACCCCCCCACCCCTTTACCCCCCGGCCCCCCCCCCGGGGAAACTTCCGGAAGCCTTTGGGACTACATTTTCGCCCAGGATCGGCCTGAGAAGCCAGGCGGGAGCTGTTTGAGATCTGCAACCCAAGCCGCCGCTTCCCCAATCTGCAGCTCAAACTGCCAATTTTGGGCAGGGGGATTCCACGTCCTCATCGAACGCATCAGCATGGCGCAAGCGAAACCAAGAGAAATCAACCATTGTAGGGGTCCCGAATATTAGGAAACAGATGGGTGTGAGTTGGCCCCAAGAATGGGAGTCAAAACACAAAGGATACCCATGAAACGGGTCGAACTCTGACAGGACTCGGACACCTTTGCACCTTTCGTCCGACGAAAATCCTTGCGGTTCACTTGGGATCAGCTCTTTCACACATGGCATAGCGTTAGGGGTTGTTGAGCCAGCGATTGCATCCCTTTTCTCCACCATTTCATTGTTTTCGAGATTTCTTGGTGCGAAGGAGATGGAATGAACATATATACAAAAATAAGAGAGTGCGAAGCCGTCACTTGGAGTTGATGTAACGGCTTCCCTCACCCTTCATTCCTTTTTCATTCGCAGCCTGTTCTCATGGACCTGAAAAGCGCAACCTTAAACACAAAACATCGAAATTCGTACTCGGCGAAAGGACATCCGCTTGACATTGACAGTCAAAAGGTGATGTCTCAAAAAACAAACAATAAGAAACAAGAAGTAGTGCGAGTCCACTTGTTTTTGGTTGAGATGTGTTGGGTGGTTTCTGATGTCCCAAGCTCCAAATTCACCGTAGACCGCTGAACGTGTTGACCGAACCAACAAGCCAGCACACAACCTATGAGCGCGGCCTTGAGACTTTCTGTGAACCCCGGGAAAAGATGCTTCATGACTTCCATATCCAAACATTTCGCACCTTGTCCAGCCATGCCTTTTCCAACCGGCAAAAACCAAGACGAAAGCAAATGTTTCCGCAACGCACCATTAGCACCACAAACGAGAAAGGCAAGCCAATGCGAAATCTACCCTTTTTCCAGCAGGCCATGTGCGAATTTGGGGGACCCATTGCCCTTTTGGTTTTCTTGTAAACCCCAAACATGTAGCTTGAGTGTCAGCTCGGGCCGGGCAAGCAGCAGGTGGCTTCAGCGATGCTACAAATGCAGCTGCAGCAGCTGCCCCTGCAAATCCCTTTGGCGTGGCTGGGCTTTGGCAATATGTGACTCACATTTCGCTTGGCTTTGTGATCAATTGAAGCAACCCACAACATCCCAAAAGGTAGCTTGAAGAAACAAGGACAAGACGTTGAATCTGACCACGCGCCTTTTTGCGTCTGGCACCGTAATGTTGTCCCGGTTAACACTGCGTCTCCCACACAGGTCACGCGTGCCGACCTGGCCTCTTTTTGATGCTGGCTTGGTATCATGCTTTCAATCGCACAATCTTTTTTTTAAAAGAAGCCTCAACCCCCCCCTTTACGCCCCCCCCCCTGGGCCAAATAGGTGGGAAGCTTCCGGAAGCCTTGGGGAAGCTTCCGGATGCCTTGAGGAAGACTTGTTGACTTCTGAAGCTTCGGGGGAGCGGACGGGAAGGGCAGGGGGCTGGGGAAGGAAGGGGTGAGGGGGACGAGCATGAGCGTAGTGGTGGCTGTCATTTTCCAGCGCTTGTGGCGCCGCCAGTCAGTGGGGAACCCTTTGGGAGCAAAATACTTTAACAGTGCTATAACACTCCAATAGCAGTGCTATAGCATGTCTCAAGGGGGGGGTGGGGGGTAAGGGGAAAAATAGAAGAAATAGGGCTCCTGGGGAAGGCTGGTTGCTTTGTTTTTTTCTTCTTCACATTTTTTTGTTTAAATATTTTCTCCTAGCATTTCTGGGAATTGTTCGGTTTATTTGTTGTATTATTTGTTCAGTATTTGCTCGTTTGTGTTGTTTTTAACATGTTTGTACATTTTGTTCATTTGCAAAAGGCACCTAATGGCAACCTTATTCATTATTTACTGTTTTTCAATGAGGCAATTAAGTTTACCTTATCCTCTCTTTTTGTTAAACCCCAGAATTTGAGAGTATGCAGGGTAAAATAGAAATTCATAAGCTTATCCATTCATGAATTGTCACCCAAAAAAAACAGTAATATAATATAACAGATGACTAACTCTATAAAGATTAGTTTTAATCACATTATATTGAAATAGTATGATTAAACAGAATCACCACTAATCATTGTCATATATTATATTCGTTTATAAATTTCACTTTCTTCATTACCATTTAATGTGTCTTCTGTCTCTGTTTCTGTCTGTATTTCTGTCTTTGTTTCTTCTTTAACAGTTATTAAATTGTCCTTGTGTCGTGTTGTTCTTTCGTGCCTCGCTTTATTATGAAGTCCTATCTTTTTTTTTTTTACAGCAAGGACATTCATATTGTTTATGTTTAGTTATCTTTTCATTTGTCATACTTTGTTCATTCATATACTCCATACTCTATACTCTTTTACATGTTTTTCTCAACATAAAGACAAACAAACACATGTTTTTCATTTAGTAACAGTCAAAGATTTTGACATTTTCAAGGTTCAAGTTTCAGACCATTTTTAAGCTTTCTGGGGGTTACAGGTTGGCTCATTAGGATGCCCTTTGAAGTATGCCTCAAAATCTCATATGCTCTCGGAGCATCTGAAAAAACTATGCTGTTTGAGCATAACCGTATGGAAAGCTAATCCCCACCTAAATTGAGGCATTCTTGCATGCTCCCAGAGCATCCCCATATGCTCGAAAACACTGATGCTCCCGACAGCATCCTGCAAGGAGCATAGTTTCGGAGCATATAAGGGTCTCAATTCTGGTAAAATGAGCCATGTTGAGGGTTCAATTCCCGCCCCTGCCACCTATTAGGGGAAACCCAAATGTTTTTCAATGTTGAGCCCAACCCCAATCCCACAACCACCAACCACAAAACAAAGAGAAAATACCTTGTGTAGTGCAGGGGATTTCAGTTCGGGTTCAGTAATTGATGATTTGTTATCCAGTAACGAAGCAAACATACAACTGGGGAAGAACAACCATTGACAAAACTAATCATCAACAACAACGAATACTATTACAACAATACTATCAACATCACTACACAACAAACTCAATCAAGTCAGAAACACACAAGGTTTCAATCGATTTTAACTTCTTAGAAAAAGCATCAAGCACAATGAGAGGCAACAATGCAGAAATACAGGATTAGAGCAGGAGCAAAAACATCAGACACATTTACAGCATTGAAACGATACTCCAATACATATTCAATAACCAACATACCATTCAAGGGATACAAAGGATTTACATACTTGAAATGGCAAGAAAAGAGACTATCAGAATATCTTGAAAAGGAAAAAACAATGGACACAATTATTGATGTTGATGTCCTTTTTGACCACCACGAAACAGAGGCACCCACAAAGTTTACAATGAGAAGCAGGAGATACAACATTCTAAACATTGCTAATTTGAAAAAGGCACTGGATAATATGCCGAAAGACATTGAATTGCAAATTGAAAATTCAGAACTCACAAGGTCAGGTTTTATAATAAACAAAGTTGATAAAATAAGCATCCCACTACGATAAATACAATCCAAACAGAGCAGGTAAATATATGGAACTACCAGAATGGATTTCAAAGAAAAAAACGTGCATCAATATTCAAAATGATGATGAATTATGTTTTAAATTTTGTGTTTTATGTAAAATTTATGAAGTCTTCAAGAAAGACCATCCACAACATATGAGACACTACAAGACTACTGAAAGTCTAATTAAATTGGATGGTGTAATTTTTCCAACATCCAATGATGACATTGACACATTTGAAACAATTAACCAACATTCTATATCAGTTAATGTTTATGTTGAAGATGAAAGCCAGACCATCAGAGCAGACAGAATAACGAAGATGGAAAGACCATCTTGTCATATTGATTTCTTACGAATTGAACAAACCAACAACAATGCTTCACAAGAGGCTCACAAGCTTTGCGAACATTATGTTCTAATCAAAGATTATAATAGATTAATGGGTAGTCCAGTTAATAAATACAAAGGAATAACGTTTTGTTGTAGATACTGCCAACACGGTTTTACAACAGAACACTTTTAAAATTCTCACTTCAGAAATGGTTGTATGGCAAATGAAATTCAACATACTAAATTGCAAAAAGAAGAAACAGCAATGAAGATTGAACAGCATTTCAAGAAACTGACAGCACCATTGGCTATTTATGGTGATTTTGAATGTTTAACAACAGAAGCATCAGGTGGAATAAAAGGGACTTGTCAAAATCATAAACCCAGCGGTTATATGCTTAACCTTGTTAATGCTTATAGTGGAGAAATGACACCATTTTTATACAGAGGTGAAGATTGTATTGATATCGTTTGTGAAACATTAAACAATATTAGAGACGATGTAGTGGAACAAATGAAACATTCAAAAGATATTGATATGACATATTTAGATGAAATCAAACACTTAGAATGAACACCGTGTTTCTTGTGCAACCGCGCTTTTGATAATAGAGTAGAAGCGAAAAGGAAGGTCGCGACCACTGCACTTTACAGGAATGTATAGAGGAGCGGCACATATGAAATTCAATATTGACTATTGCTTTAAGACAAGCATCATATACCTGTATTCTTTCATAATCTTAAAAACTATGATGCTCACTTGATAATGTCTAATCTTGAAAAGTTAAATAAAAGAAAGAAAGCATATCAGTAATAGCACAGAAGAGTGAGACGTTTATTACATTTTCATTAGACAGACTTGAATTTAAGGATAGTTTTAGTTTCTTGTCATCGTCATTAGAAAATCTTGTTAAACTCACAAAGTATGACGATGGAAAATTAAGGGACAACTGGCAGGAAAATGTCAAACACAGTTTCAAAGGTAAGTACATTAAGAATGAAATCGATTTGTGTTTACTGACTGAAAAGGGAGTTTATCCTTATGAGTATTGTAATGACTTCAAAAAATACTGACACTGAACTTGCAGAAAAGACACATTTTTATAGTAGATTAAGTGAAGAAGATATAAGCAATGCTGACTATGAAAGAGCAAAACTAATATGGAAGCACGTTAACATTAAAAACCTTGGTGAGTATCACGATTTGTACTTAGAAACAGATGTATTACTATTAACCGATGTATTAAAAAATGTCTAACAGATCATGAATTAGACCCAGCACATTACTATACATTACCTAGCTTTGCTTGGGATGCGATGTTGTTGAAAACAGGAATTGAATTAGAACTCTTACACGATGAAGAACTTTATAATATGGTTGAGAAGGGGTTGAGAGGTGGTATGGTTCTATGTGCCTACAACAAAGCAATTGCTAATCATAATTATATGGGTGAATATTATGATAAGACTAAACCATCTTCATATATTTCATACCTTGATGCTAATAACCTTTACGGATTAGCAATGTGTAAAAAAACTACCATACAATAATATTAAGTTTGTTAAAGATAGTTTTACAGAAGAAGACATTAAATATCACAATAGTGATTACAGTAGCAAAGGTTATATTTCAGATGTTGATTTAGAATATCCAAAAGAATGCCACGACAAACACATAGATTATCCACTAGCACCAGATATTATGAATGTCACAGCCGATATGTTAAGTGACGTCCAAAAGCAAATTTACAAAGCATACAACAATGATAGTGACCCGAAAGATGAGAAACACACACAAGTTAATATTAAATGTTATGGATAAACAAAATTATAGTTTACGAATAGATAGTCTAAAGTTTCTTTAAAACAGGGTTTGCCATTTAAAAATAAAAATACAGTTCTAGAGTTTAGGCACAAGCAATGGTTTAAACCGTGGATTGACTTTAATACAGAGAAGAGAAAGGAAGCAAACAGTGATTTTGAGAAAGACATGTATAAGTTAATGAATACTGCTGTATATGGAAAATCAATGCAAGATGTAAGAAACCAAATTGACTTTGAATTAGTTGATACACCTGAACGCTACCAAACATGTGTCAATAATCCGAACTTAAAATACAGGCATATCATCAAAGAAAACCTGATAGGAGTAGAAACAGTAAAAAGTGTAGTGAAACTGAATAAACCTGTTTGTGTAGGAATGTGTATTTTAGATTTATCTAAAAAAACAGCATATGTATTCGTTCT